ATTAACTTTTAAAATTTATAAACAGTATTTTTTTTTTCTTTTTGTGGTCCTAAGGATTAAACCCAGGGATATTCTACCACAAAATAAAATCAACATTTTTTATCTTATTTATTTTTTGATACTAGTGATTGAACCTAGGGACACTTTACTACTGAGCCACATCCCCAGCCCTATGTATTTTTTGAGACAAGGTCTCATAAGTTGCTTAGGGCCTTGCTAATTTGCTGAGTCTGGCTTCAAACTTGAGATTCTCCTGCCTCAGCCTTCCTAGTCACTGGAATTATAGGCATGAGACAACATGTCCAGCAACCCTTTTTATTTTTTTTTTATTTTTGGGGGTATTGGGGATTGAACTCAGAGGCACTCAATCACTGAGCCATGTCTCCAGCCCTATTTTGTATTTTCTTTAGAGATAGGGTCTCACTGAGTTGCTTACTGCCTCGCTTTTGCTGAGGCTGGCTTTGAACTTGAGATCCTCCTGCCTCAGTCTCCTGAGTTACTGGGACTAGAGGTGTGCACCACTGTGCCCAGCAAACCTTTCTATTTTTAATTAATTAATTTTTGGTGCTGGAATTGAGTCCATGGGTGCTTAACCATTGAGCTATATCTCCAGTCCCTACCCCCCACCCTGTTTTGCTTTCTGCTTTTTTTCTTTTTACTTGAGGGGGGAGATTGCTAAGTTGTTTTAGGGCTTCACTAAGTTGCTGAGGTGGGCCTTGAACTTGCAATCCTGCTGCCTCAGCTTCCTGAGTTGCTGGGATTGCAGACGTGTGCCACACATCTAGCCTTTATTTTTAATTTTGAGACAGGATCTTGCCAGATTGCCCAGGATAGCCACAAACTTTTAATCCTCCTGCCGCAGCCTCCTTGGTAACTACAGGCCTGTGCCATCCCACATGGCTATGAGTAGTATCATTCTTATTATTGTTACTTATTTTTGCAGTGCTAGGATGGAACCCAGGGCCTCAAACATGGTAGGAAAGAACTTACCAATGAGCCACATTACCAGCCCAATCGTATTTTATGAAGAAAAAGAAATTTGGACTATTGCAGTGGGCTGAGCTCACTACTAACACTTCATGTTTGTAGTGTGCAAGGATGCCATAACAAAGTACCCCACACTGGATGGCTAAAATAACAGGCATTTATTCTTTCAGAGTTCTGCAAGTTCAGGATCAAGGTGCAGGCAGGGCTGGTAGCTCTTGAGGCCTCTTTCCTTGGCTTATGCTTAAGTAGCCATCTCCTCCCTGTGTGCTCACATAGTCTTTATGTTATAATCTCCTCTTGTTTTACTGGAGACCAGTCAGATTGAGTTAAGGCCCAGCCTAATGGCCTAAATTAGCTTCAATTACCTCTTTAAAGATCTTATCTCAAATTCAGTCACATACTGAACTACTAGAGTTTGAGTTTTAACCTTCAAATTCGGGGGATAGAGCTCAGAAATTACTTATCTTTGAGGTCCTGGAACCAAGGGGCCCTAACCTGAATCTGGTCCATGGAGTGACTCCCTCTGAGGGATGTGTTTCCTGATCCTGTGATCTTGAGTGATATCATCGATATCTTGACCCTAAACATAGGGTCCTTGAGGAAGGTTCTCAACTTTCCAGGTTATCTATAGACGATCTGCCCTGAATAGGAAAACCAGATCCACTGAGTCTGTGCAAAGTGTTTACCTGGCTGTCTAGTAGGCATTGGGTGGTGGGGTGGGATATTACCTCAGGACAGTTACATGCAGAGAGCAATGGATCTGTCTCTGCCAGGCCAAAGGTGCATCCAGTTTGCACTCTCCAACAGAGGTCAGGAAGCAGCTCTATGACAGGTGAGCAGGTCTGAAGATGGAATCATGTTCTGGTATCCATAGGGAGCATGTGTTACAGTTCAAATATTTCCCCTAGAGTTCACATGTTAGAATCTTAATCCCCCAATTCATGTGTTACTGGTTTGGAGATGAGATCTTTGGGAGGTAATTAGGATTAGATAAGGTCAGGGAGTGGGACCCCCATGATAGCTTGAGTAGCTTCATGAGTAGAGAGTAGACTGGAGCTATAGCTCAGTGCTCAGTCTATCCTGTGCTGGATCCTGGTTCAATTTCCAGTACAAAGAAAGAGAGAGAGAGAACTGAGCACATTGCTTTGTTGCTATCTCACCAAGTTATGCCCTCTGCCATGTTTTGATGCAGCCCAAAGGTACTCACCAGATGCTGGCACTGATGTTGTTAGAATTCCTAGGCTTCAGAGTGGTGAGCCAAACAAACCTCTCTTCCTTGTTTATATTTTTGTGGTACTGGGTACACTAGCACAGAATTACATCCTCAGGCCCTTTTATTTTTTATTTTGGGAAGGTCTTGCACAGTTGCTAAGGCTGGCCTCAAACTTTTGATCCTGCTGCCTCAGGCTCCCAAGTCATTGGAATTACAAGTATGTACCACTGTGCCTAATAAACCTCTCTTCTTTATAAATTACCGCGACTCAAGAGTTTTGTTATAGCAACAAAAAATGGGCCAAGACAACATGTCAACCCCAAATCATGAGGTTTCTCTTAATTCAAACAGTTACAAATCTCTGTGAGGGCCCATGTTCATGCAAAAACATTATCAATCAGAAGAGGGGCTTCTGTAGGAGTTTCAGTTGAGTTTTGCACCAGACATCTTTCAAGTTTGCAGAATGTTGAAAATCAGATAGTAAAAATATTCATGATCATAGAGACTTGTGTGTCCCCTTGTTTGAGATAGTAAATTACAAAATCATAGTCAGAAAATCAACATATAAAAGAGTAAAATAGTCCATTCATAATGTTGCAGAAACTTGTACTATTCAGAAATTTGGAATATATATATATATATATATATATATATATATATATATATATATTTTTTTTTTTTTCTCTGTGAACTAAAATAGGTTTTCAGTCTATTCTCTCCTTTTTCATTCTCTCTCTCTTTTTGTCTCAGTATTGGGGATTGAACCCAGGGTGGCTCTACCACTGAGTTACACCCACAGCCCTATTTATTTATTTAATAAGACAAGGTCTCACAAAGTTGCCCAAGTTGGCCTTGAACTTAAGATCCTCCTTCCTCCACCTCACAAGTAACTGAGATTTCCACCAGGCCCAGGCACAACTCTTTTTAATAGGAACAAACCACAGTGTTCAGGGAAATAACAGATAATGACCCTCAGTTATTTGTATGCTCATGATCTACCACGCTTGATACGAGATTTACTTCAACCAATTCTGACCCTGACTTACGCGATGACCAAACAAATTCCCCAAGAAAGGATTACTACTGAGTATGAACATTTTGAACAATTGCCACGTGGCAGGCTTTGGCAGGCACGAGCTCCTCTGATCCTCAGGACTACCCTGTGAAGAAGGACCTCTCATTGTGGCACCACGTCACAGACAGAGAAGCCAAAGTCTGAGGACCAGGTACCAGACCACAGAATTTGCAGGCAACAGGAGCAGAAATGGGTTGGAACCTAGAGCTTGACATGGGAGGCCAGGCCACTGGAAGCCCAAGCTACCTGCCCTTGGTGAATTAGCTGACTCTCCCTGACACAATCAGTCACCAGCATCTACAGTCTGACTGTTCACATTTGAGACCACCCAAAGAGTGAGCGTCACAATCCTCTGTGGGCTTGCGGGCATGCTAAGGAGGCTATGGCCATCAGCCATGGCCTGCTACAGAGACAGCTCAATTGCTCCAGGGAAACACCATGCACAAGGTGCTCACTGAGCAGACTTACAGGCTGGCTGGCGATGGGCAAAGACTGGTGGACTGGGCCAAGGCACCAGATGCCCTGGGCGAACCTCCAGAAGAAGGCTGAGAGCTCAGCTCCCTCCAGTCCACACGTCCAGAGGTTGGAGATATATCCAGATGTTGGAGATGGAAGCAAGAAGTGTTATCCCTTCCCAAGTGATCTGAATCTTCCAAAGCCCCAAGATAGGAAAGAGACCTCCCACCACCCTCAACCTCCTTGTTCACTTTTGACTGACAAGTGGGCTGACCTCAGGTGGTTCTCAAGGCAAAGGGGTTGGAGTGGGGTGAGGGGTGACAGTGGGGAGAGCGATGGGGGAGGGGTGACAGGGGTGTGGGCCGATGGGGGTGGGCAGCCACCCTCTCCCTCTGCAAGGGGTCTGTTCCTTGTCTTCTCATTTATACCCCTAGGAGCTGTGGTAGCTGCTGCGTTTATATTTATACAACCGGAAAAGCAATGTGTGGTCTCTCCCAAACATTTGGGTGATCTTTGTAATTACCCAACAGTAGAAAAGGGCAGCTCTGGTTGGGAAGGGGGGTTATGCTCTCCTAGCTGGGGGGTTGTTTTTGAGAGGAGTTTCATTGCAGGCTCCATTTCCTCAGGCGCCTCCTTTCTCTGCCAGGACCCGTCGGCCTCTTCCCTGCCCACAAGGGCTGGCCTGCACGGTCTTTCTGGACATAAGCCAGTTCCAGCTAGTGCTGCACAAGCCCTGGTGTCGCAGTTCTGAGGGGCAGTTTGCAGGCCATGGCCTCCAGGGGTGCTCCCAGGACCTGTGTTCTGCCCCGAAGATGTGGAGCTGTGTGGCCAGTCTCACACAGGCGCTCTTGCAGTCCCTGGATACTCACAGTGGTCATTCCCCAGGTGAAAGTTTGCCAGCCCTGAACTCATGATGTTTCTGACGTCTTATGGTGTCACCATCAGAATAATTCCCAGCAAACAGTGAGCTGCAAAAAAGGACAGGACATCAACTGAAAAACAGCAGCTGAGTCCAGAAAGCAGGGCTTGTCTGCAGAGGAGCCTGGATATTTGAGGCTTGAAAGTTTGTTCTCTAAAAGCTGTTATGGTTTAGATAAGAGACATTCCCCAAAGCCCATGTGTGAGACAACCCAAGACCAATCAGAGATGATGTGATTAGATTATGAAAGCTGTAACCTGATCAGAGGATTAATCCTCTGATAGGGATTAATTAGGTAGTAACTATATATAAGCAGGTAGGCTGTGGTTGGAGGAGGTGTCCCTGGGGTGGGGGATGTGCCTTTGGGCTTTATATTTGGTTTCTGGTGAGCAGAGCTCTCTCTCTCTGCTTCCTCGTTATCATGTCCTAAGCTGATTTCCTCCTCCACTGAGACATTCTGCATCACCTTGGGCTCATAGTAATGGAGTTGGTTATCTATGGATTAAGATCTCTGAAATGGTGAGTACCAAATAAACTTTTTCTTCCCTAAAATTGTTCTTATCAGGGTTTTTGGTCACTGTGGTGGAAAAGGTGACTAAAACAAAAGACAACTGATCAATCCACCAGGTGCCTGGCACATACCTGTATTCCCAGGGATTCAGGAGGCTGAAGCAAGGGCATTTGCAAGTTCAAGGCCAGCCTCAGCAATTTATAGACCCTCAGCAACTTTGTGAAACCCTGTCTCAAAATAAAAAAAGGATTGGGGATATGGCTCAGCGATAAAGTGCCCTTAGGTTTAATCCACAGAATCAAAATAAAAAATAAATAGGCAAATGATTTAGATATTAATTTAGTATTTGGTGGGTGTGTTGAAGGATGGTCAATTAGTAGTTAAAGTGTAACAAGTGTTCCTAGAGGAAAAAAAAATCACTGACGTATTTGGATAGAGAAGAAAGGGGAAATGGGGGTAGTGAGCCCTGAAAAGCACAGATGTGGAAGCTGGGAGAGGAGCCCCCAGTGAGGTGGGATACTGGCCTAGGTGCATCTCTAAACAGGGAGTCCACCTGGCAGCGTGGGCTCCTTGGCTCATTCCTAAGACTCCACAGAAGTCTCTGCTGCAGTATCTGAGAATCATGGAGAATGTGGCATGTGCAGAAATCACAGCCACTGCTTCCCTTCCCACCACATGGAGATAAAAGCCCAGTGAACATTAGGGTTTAGTTCCTGGGATGGAGCTGTTTAGTGTACTTTCATTTTTGTTTTTGTTTGTTTTTTGAGCACCAGGGATCAAAATCAGGACCTCACACATGTTAGGCAAATGCTCTACAACACAGACACGCCCCAGACCATTTGATTTTTGAGTCTTCCTTTCTTTATTTTTTTTGGGGGGATGGTACCCCCCAGGCATTCAACTTAGGGGGCACTCAACAGGGGCACTCAACCCCTGAGCCACATCCCCAGCCCTATTTTGTATTTTATTTAGAGTCAGGCTCTCACTGAGTTGCTTAGCTCCTCGAAGTTGCTGAGGCTGGCTTTGAACCTGCGATCCTCCTGTCTCAGTCTCCTGAGCCACAGGGACTACAGGCATGCTCCACCGCACTCAGCTGAGTCTTTCTTTTTTTACCTTAAATTACATAAATAGGCTCTATGTAAACTTCCTTTTAAAGGAGGTGTAGTACTCCCCAAGGGAGCATGCTGTCATCTCCTTCTCTTTTGGTGGGCATTTTGATATGATTGTACATATTACTGCAGTAAGCGCCTTACTGCAAAATGACTTCCCACATCCTCCCACATCTTTTTTAAAGATACGTTTTGGTCCAAGTGGAGGATTACTGGAAAAAGCATGTGAAAAATCTGGAAAAAGACTTTAAAAAGATAAAGTCTGGTTCTTTTCGGGCTCAAGGAGGCCATACTCACCTAGGCCTTCTTGGTTTTACTGTTGGGTATGAATGTCTCCAGTGTCCCAACCTCCCTTCCTCAGGCCACCTCCATGATTGTGCCCACTTTCAAAGGTGGAAATCTTATTGTATAAAGTGGAAAAAGTAATTTGGGCGTGTTGGTGCACACCTGTCATTCCAGTGATTGGGGAGGCTGAGGCAGGAGGATCATAAGTTTAAGGCCAGTCTCAGCAACTTAGTAAGACAATGTCTCAAAAAAAAGAAAGAAAGAAAGAAAGAAAAGTGCCTGGGATGTAGCTCAGTGGTATACACCCATAGATTCAATACTCAGTACCTCCTCACCCTCACTTGATTAATTGATTAATTAAAGAAAAATGAAGTTTATCATTTGCAGGAAAATGAAAGAATCTTGAAACCATTATGTTAAGCAAAATAAGCCAAACTCAGAAGGTCAGTGGCCATGTATTTCCTCTCATATGTGGAAGTTAGAGAGGAAAAAGGAAATGAAAGGTGGTGATGGTGATGGTGGTGGTGGTAAATCTCATGAAAATTAAAGGGAGATCAGTGAAGGAAAGGGGCCAGGGGTGTGAGGAGAGAAGGAAGGGCGGGGGAAGTACTGTGGAGTGATACTTGGCTAAATTATATTGCTGTATGTGAGATGTACAAATAGGTACCAACAAATCCCATCATTATGTGCACCAATAACACAATGTGGAAGACAGAGGCTGGGATTGTGGCTCAGCAGAGCACTCGCCTAGCATGTGCAAGGCCCTGGGTTCAATCTTCAGCACCACATAAAAATAAATAAATCAAATAAAGGTATTCTGTCCAACTGCAACTAAAAAATAAATATTCTTTAAAAAATGTGGAAGACAAAAACATGTTATGAAAATGGAGGAAAAAAGGAAAGCAGTAGAAATTGTGAAGATCAAGGTCCTTTCTTTACCTCCTTTCTCCCCTACCTTCCTTTCAAGGACTGGAGGAGTCCTTTTTTCTCCTTTGAAGGTTGCAATGACTGGAGTTTCCTAAGGAGTGAGAATCCTACCAGGAGCTCTGGAGCGCAGCTGCTGCAGGACCTGGCCTCTACCTAGTTCCACTGGAACATCCGGGCTTGCTTCTCAGGGTGGTGTAGTAGTAGCTCTGGTCTTCACACCTTCAACAGTGGCCATGAGTCACAGAAGCTGTGTTCCACTCTTTGACACACAGCAAGGGTGAGGAGAACACCCCCCAAACTCCCCACAGCTGCCTTTACTCAGGTTCTATCAACCAGACCTGCCACTTGGTCATCCCCACTCCTTGGAGGCACAGGAAGGACCCCAGCTTCCTGAACAAAACTGGACTCTCTTAGCAAGGAGGAGATGACCATTGGGCAGGCTGCAATGGTGACCACTCCATTGAGACGATGGAGCCAGCCAGGTCTGTGGGTTTGGACAGTCATAATGGGAAGCCTCAGGATGGGCCAGTTATACAAATGGGGGCAAAGGGGAAGCAACAAGAAACAGGGCTTGAAGGGGAATGCCAGAGGTGGGAGCAGGGCTCCTTAAATTCCCCGAGATGAGGACGATTTATTTCCTGTGGGCTGACCAAGTAGGGGTCAAGAGGATTCAGAGCTGAGCAGAAAAATGTATTATTGGAGTAGAGGGCTGGATGGGCCAAGCCTTGCCTCAGACAGGATGCTTAAGGAGTTCACCTCCCGTAATCAAACGGAAATGTGTTTTTCTCTTCCTGTTGTCTTCTTCCTCCTGCCTTCCCTGCTTTCTCTTTCCACCCTCTATCCCAACCCTCTTTACTTTTTTTCTCTTTTTCCAGCCCTCCGCCCCTTTCTTTTTTCTCTTCCCTTTCTTCCTCCCTCCTTCCTGTCCTTTCGAGTCTCTTTCTTTTTCTTGTATTCTCCTCCCTTTCTCCCCTCAGTTTCTCTTTCTCTCTTTTTCCTCCAGATCAAACCTTGCACAAGTTACCAACTATTGACACGGAAGGAAGGTTACATTGACTTTTTTTTTTTTTTTTTAAGTGTCAGGGATTCATTAGACCCTTTCAGATTTCTCTCTCAACATTAGCAGGTTTTGAAAAAACATCTTGTTTTTGTTTTCCACAAATGAGGTCAGGAAGTGCCTGAGAAATAATTCATGGAGGATGAATATTTAGTGCTTGATTTCTGTAGGAAACAGGGAGCAAAGGGACAGAAAACTGACCTGCCTCCAGCATGCTCCCAGCAGTTTGAAAAGCTCTGGCTCCACTACAGCTTCAAAAATAGCTCTGTTCGCTCTGGGACCTGGTTGGGGGATTTTCCACAATCAAAAGCAGCTGCTTCATCTCATTTACCCATTAGGCTGACCTCGGCGGGGCTCGGGCTCGCTGCAGGCATCTCAGAGGCTGGAAAGATCTGCTCAGAGCGGCCTCGTTTGCCAGTGTAAAGCAAGTCAAGCTCCTTTGCAGCAACTGTTTACATTTGTTTTTTGAAATACTCCTGACTCCTCGGGGCAGCGATGAAGTCACTATTTGGAGCTTTCTAAGAATGTTAGTCCGGTCTCCATATCTCTCCACATGTTGCCAAGTTACTATGGACAGTGGATCTCAGGGGACATCCCTCTCTTCCTTCCCAATTTAGTTCAGAGCTGTGGCTTATTTTATTTTTATTCTATGGTTATTAAAGTAGAGCAGCACACAATTAAAATCCAGATGTTGCAGAAAGGATATGAAGTAAAAATAGAAGTTCCTCTCTTACGTACCCAAATTCCCACTAAGTCTTTTCTGGGGTGGCAGCCTTTGGTGGTACCCAATATCATTCTATAATTTTCTGAGCATATACAAGTGAGAGTGTATGATATCTATTTAATATGTATGCATGTGCATGTATGTACATTAGGCATACACATATGCATATATAGACATATGGTATACATTCAGTAGTGTGTGTGTAAAATACAGCATAGCTTTGGGCAAATTGACCTCTAAAGTTCTTGTGATTGAGAGGACTTGGAGCTGTTCCAGACTGTCTCTTTCTCTTTGAACATTTTGACTAATTGGAGCTGGGTCCGTCCTGCATAAACAAGGGAGTGAGTGGTTATGCATATTGGCTCTGGAGGCTGGTGATCTGGGTTCAGATTCCTCCTTCCTGCAAGTAACTTCCTGTGTGATTTTTAAACTCAGTAAACCTTGCTTTTCTCATCTGTAAAACGGAGGCACAGCCTCCTAACTCAGAGGATTAAATGAGGTGATGTACACGAGATGTCAGCATTACCTGAGCTCAGTGGGTACAGGTCATCGCTATTATGAGACCAAAGTATTTCCAAGCATTTTCATCAACTCACCCACTCCACCGGCACATCTGTCTATTCTCTTCCCCCAAAAGTTGTGATAGCCCTGACTGTCTCCTGGTCCTTACCTATGGGACCTGCTTGCTCAGTACACAGAACATGAGATTCCTGTGGCCTGGCTCTTGCTTTGGGTTCTTTCTGAGTCCTCTGCCTCATGATGCTTCCTCTCTGCTTTTAGACATCTGCAGATCACATTTTGAGTTTGTGGGTGGCAGGTGCTCCTCCTAGAGTGATCCCTTTCATTTTGTGTCCCGATTCTCATGGGGAGCTGGTGTACAATACTTGCTGACAAACTAATATGTTG